CAGGCCCTTGCGGACAGAGTAAGGGTCCTTGTCGGTGTCGGTGTAGCGGTGGTGGGCACGGTGGTCGCGAGCCCACCATCTGATAGATCCCTCCACGGCACCACCACCGACGGCAGCCAGGTAGACTCTCAGGGGGAGAGTGGCAGAGTACGAGGAGTGAGCCCAGAGACGATGGTATCCTACTCTCGTTAGTACATCATATCCCTTTTTTTTATATATATATATTGTTTGATGTATGATTTCATCTACTTACCAGCTGTGATTCCCAGGCCGGTCATGAAGTAGTAGAGCACCGACCAGATGGCAGTCTTGAGCTGCAGCGGCACCCAGAAAGCCTGGATGCAGCCAGACAGAGGGATTCCCAGGATCAGGGTGACGTTGAGCCAGTTGACGTGCTGGTACCAGTTGGCGAGGGTCATCTTGGTATCTGTGATATGCGGCTTCTTGTCCTGCTGCTGCTGCTGCTGAGGAGTCTGAGTCTGAGTCTGAGCCTGAGCCTGGGCCAGAGCAGGCTGGACTGTCGACAGACCGGCGTCTCCCATGGTGTCGTCGTTTATTGTTCTAGTATATTCGGAATACCCAGGGTTGATGTTGATATCAAGTTGATAGACAGGTGTTGAAGGGGGAGAGAGGTGCAAGAGTTAGGAGCACTCCCTTCGACTCTACCACGGAGGAGGCAGAAGGTCGACTATGACGACGACGACGGCGACAGTGATGACAGAGGCAAACAGCAGAGTCTACCAGATCTGTCCTGTTTGACTGTTTGTGCCAGAGGAATGATGCAGTCTGGAGGAGGATGGCGGGATCTAGTTATATAAACACCCCCAGCAGGCTAAAACGGAGATGGCACCACCAGTGGGAAAAAAGGCAAAAAGAAGAAAAGAGAAAAAAGAGAAAAAAAGAGGAAAAGCCCTAGAAGAGCCTGTCAGCTGCCTGCGTCTTCCCTGCTTTCTCGCTGCCTGTCTTTGCCCTCGAATTCTCCTTGTGCAAGTCCTTTCGCCGGCTCGCATCTTTGCCTTTTTTGCCTTTTTTGCCTGCCTCCCTCGCCGCGTCTTGTTGGGGCGGAAGTGGATGGGACAAGCTTTTGGTTGCTTTTCGCGGTGCCTGAGTGGAGGCTGCAGGAGACAGGGCTGGGGCAGGCTTGCGGCGGCCGCTGGTATCGCATTTACAATACACGACTCGCTGTTGGCTGCTGGGCCCAGCGCTCGATGGGGGCCTGCCACTGCTGCCCCTTTGGGTCAATTGCAACTGTGGGCTCCCCTTCTGCGGCCTGGCTTCGTCTCAGCGGGTTCTGTGCATAGATGGTGCTGCTGCTGGGGGTTTCTCGCGGACTTGATGGCCCTGATGGCCCCCCTGGGAGTCGCAGAGTCGATCAGCCGTGACATGACGATACGTGCTTATGTAAGTAATACGCCCTCCAACGGCGCTGGCCATCGCCTCCCAACAAACTACATCATCGAGCCGAGAGAGCGTCGCCACAGAAAAAGAGAGACTCCTTGCTGGTCGTCATTTTTTTTCGGTCTCTCTTCGTCATCTTTTTATCTCTTATCTTATCGCTTATCTCTCTCATCACTCTATCCTCTATCTTCCCTTCCCATCTTCTTCTTCTTCTTTAATTGTCTTCTCTAGCTGTTCTTCTTCCCTTCTCTTCGTCTACTTCAAAGTCGCTTTTTGTACCGGACAACTGACTACCCAAAGAGGACTAGCGTCAAAGCACCTCTTCCCCAACAGAAAAAATCTGCCCTTCTTGGAGATGACTAAGAGATGACTAAGACGGCTTTTTTTGCAGCATCTTTTTTCCCCTTCAGTCTCAAAAAGGAAACAGCCGAGGCATCTTCGCCCCCCCGGATGATAAGATAAGCAGCAAAGCAAATCTTCAAACGTCCATCCTTGCTAGACGCCGGCCTTGCTTGCTAGCATCTGCTGCGACCGAGCACTTGCATGCGGCAGATCTCCTTTTTTTAAGTAGTAGGGTTATGAAGATAAATACCGACCAGGAGTCTGAAGCTGCCGGGGAATTTTCTTCATGGCCGGCCACCCCTGGGCCTCGGAGACTGACGAAGCTTCCCATGTGTTCTTCCATCCGCCGTCCCTCCGGCCCAGCCTTTTTTTCTCTTCCTCTCCCCGGATCTGCCCGACTTACTAAGAAACTTCGACAAACATTTATACATAACAGCAAACATTCCCATTGGAGATTATCAAGACTCATATATTATACAAGGAATAGAAACATCGATCAAAGAACACAAAGCAGCGACGCCAATGGTGCAAACACCGTGCTCAACAGAGGATTCACCACGCCCATAGATGCATACCACCCTCCGCACGCCAAGTTGCCCAACAAGTAGGTGTAGAAAAGTGGCTTTTCGAACGGACCTTCGATGCCGTGGTGGAACCACTTCAGCTGCAATATTACTATCCATTATTATTATTAGCTGTTAGTTGATGTTTGTCCTGCATTAGCGCGCAAAAAAAAGTCGTTTGATGCACAGGAGGGAAATAGTTTCACGGGGTATATATCTCCGGATGGGGGGTTGAGGGTTGGGTCGGGTTGGGGTTGAGCCATGGCATGATGTTTGTGGGATTTATACGGTTTAGTTTCAGGATCGTGGCATGACATTGACTTACTGCCGATCGTGGGGAGGATCATCAGATGCTGGAAGCAGATGCCGATGATGTCGTAGAGTTTGCTCTTATGCGAGCGCAGCATGGGCAGCACCCTGGTGAAGCCGTAGGTGGTGTGGACCAGCACTGTGTACGCGTTGAAGCCGATGCCGAGGGCTGTCAGACCGACTCGCCATGGTTGGCTCAGTAGCATGGTGGGTGATGTTGTTATTGTTGATTGACCCTGACGTTATTACTATTGTAGGCATGTGAGATTGATAGTATTAGGTACTCGAGATAACGGCAGTTTATATACTATTCGCTGCATCGGAGTCGGGGAGGTTATCGAACCGCGATACGAACATGCTCTGCCGACCCAAGATCGACCAAGATGCTATATTTATCGCTTCTCTTAGCATTCGCGCTGGTTACTACATATAGTAATCTGGCACTAACCAATTTACTACTATCTAGACGTCACCCTCAACCATGCTCCGGAGCAGTTGCTCTGTATCGTCCTCCTCTTGCTGGGTGTTCGGCTCCGTAGAAGACTGTAGATCAACAGCCTCCAACCACTCCTCATCTTCCTCCTCGTCCTGGCTGTCCATTATCTCGGCAGGTAGACTCGTACTCGCCAACACAGCTTCAGCCGGTTTCTCCTCTGGCATCTGCTTCTTCTCTTCTACGCTCTCCCTTTCCTCCTCTTCCTCTTCTTCTTCACTATCATGCTCAATCTTAGGTCGACGAGGGAGCTGAGCTCCAAGAAGCTCATCCCCGTCAAGCTTCCTTTTCGCAGACACAGGCGTCACCGTGCCCCTTGTACCACCCAGACTAATCGGCAGCCGCATAAACTCAACCAGGCCCTTAAAAAGCTAACATCAGCAAATACACATCATCAACCTCTATAAAAGACAAAAGAAACATACCTCATCCTCTACAAGAAATGGAACAATCCTCTCCACGGCCCGGGGCAAAACAGCCTTCTTGCCCGCCCTAAACACCTCCGCAATCCTGATCCGCGCCATTCCAAACTTCTCGCTGACTCCAGAATCTAGCCAATGCCAGTACAATATCACCCGCGTAGCCACGCTCGTGTCCCACGTATACCCCGATATCGCAACATGCAGCATCGGTTTCTGGCCCGACCGAAACCGAGTCACCATCTCATTGACCACGATCACAGCACAGCCGAACCGAGACGCAAGAGCATTAAGGTTCGAGGACAAGCTACCTATCAGTTTCCACCAGAGTTTGGACTCCTGCGCCTCTTTGTTGGCCCTTGGCCCTGCGCCGGGGAGGTCTTTGGCCTTGCTGCCTAGCTTTGCAGGGAGCTTGGATCGGAACTCCGAGCCAAACAGACACGATATCGAATCTACCACTATCAGACCTGTGTTGGGCGGCGGGAAGTCAGCGATAGGATGGCATATCAGGGCCAGCAGGTGGGCGAGCGTGGTAGGTTGGAAATGGAGTAGATTCCGTAGTCGGTCCTGGGTTTCGAGGGGGGTGCTGTCCCTTGATAGCATCTTTTCAAACCTGGACATGCATATGGGACCAGCGGTGTCTGGCTCCCCCTAGTTAGTCCCATGTCGATAGTAATGCAATGTAGAAGGTGTTGCCTTACCTATCCATATGACTGTCTCTCCTTGCTTCAATGCATTCACGGCAGTGGTCATACTAGACAGGGCCGGTAAGCATGGTAAAAGCACCAGAAGGGAAGGAAACAAGCCGACTTACGCCAGAGACGTCTTGCCGGATCCTCGTGGTCCAGAGAGTTCCGTGATTTCACCTCTGCGAATACCCGGTGACAAAGGAGTTTGTGACTCTTCAGCGTCTCCATTCCCGTTGCTGCCAGAATCAACATTGCCATTCCCGCCTTCTGCACCAGCCGCACTCGGACCTAACTGGGTCCATCCGGGGAGTGCAAATTGGGATGCAGCGGGGAGAACGTCGGCAGGCGTATTTGCAGCATGATCTAAGGGGGGTATCAGTGCCTTGTCGAGGTGTGGTAGGCTGGTAGAGAGGGGAGTCCTTCCAGTCGATGGGCTGAGTAATTGGCTAGGATTCTGCGAGTGGACTACTGGCCGGTTAACAACTTGTTATTCACCATAGAATGTATAAATACATACGTGTCGGTGTTGCCTGGAAATTAGCTGTGTCTCTGTTCATGGCTCACCATGGCCATCGAGACGGCAGTCGACAGAGAATCCCTCATCAATAGTAGTAATAGTCGAAGGTGTTAGTCACTTAAGCGGGTTCAATTAAGCGGCTACGACGACGCGAAAACGCGCCTACGCGAAAGGCTTATCGATAAGATCAAACTCTAATTCCGCCTCAATATCAAGGTCCTCGTTAGTTGTTGATCCCATCTATATATCTATGTAATGTTTCTATATTATCTACACGCCGGATTGCATAACCTGCTTCGCCTTAGCAACGACGTCCACCCAGACAGGCGGTTTCGACCTGCGATCACCCACGACATTCTCAACATCCAGACCCCAGCGCATAAGGAAATCCTCACTGCCCCATTCGCCCGTCCCCATCAACCCAATCGGTATCTTACCCTCGGTGTTCTCTTCCGCGATCTCGCCTTCGTTCTTCGTACCCTCGGGAACTACAAAGCCCGCAGGCACATTGATCGCAGGGAGACCAGTAAAGTTAGCCAACCAGATGAAATTCATCGTTTTCAGCGTCTGGTCTCCATCGCTGATACCGTACTTGAGCTCCTTCTGGTCCCGAATCGGCCAGCCCGCGCAGCTGGTCGTGGGCGTCACAATGATCATACCCGGGTACTCCTTCCATAGCCAGGAGAGGTGCTGCATTAGCAAGCGACGAAGTTTCTGAGCAAGCAAGTAATCCGTAGCAGGCGTTTCGCGGCCCAGACCAAGCAGTATCTTGTTCGGGGCTGTGAGGTTGGATGTATCGGGGAGCAAAGTCGCGGCGTCAGTGAGGATGGTGACGGCGTGCGCGATCTGGCCTTCAACCAGGTAGGGTATCTGGATGGGCACGACGGTGTAGTTGTGTTTATCAGCGAGGGTGGAGATGGCGGATCGGCAGAGATGTTGGATTGCGGGAGTTGCCTGGGAGAACCACGCTTCGGGTACTCCGAGGTATTTGGTGCCGTTGGGATTGCAGGGTGCGAGTCTTGGAGAAACTGGCAGGAAAGGCGAGGTTGGTGGCGGGCAGCCTATGATGCGGTAGAGTGCGGAGAGGGATTGCAAGTCCGCCGCTATGGGCCCGTTGACAGCACAGGTGTTGGAATGGTTGGGACCCGGGTGGTGAGAGATTCTGCTGTGGGTTGGCTTGAGGCCATAGACGGAGCAGAACGAGGATGGAATGCGGATGCTGCCGCCGCCATCACTTCCGAGGGCAAAGGGGAGCAGTCCGACACTGACTGCGTATGCGGTGCCGGAGGAACTGCCGCCGGTGTAGTACTTGGGGTTGTACGGGTTGAGGGGAGTGCCGTAGTTCGGGTTACTCCCAGAGGTGTCTACATCGACTGTTAATACTTGTTTATGGGGATGGGTATATATATATATATATTTCAGCGAGAGTATACATACCCAGACCGAATTCGTGCATGGAGAGCTTCCCCAGGACGACAGCTCCGGCCTCCTCTAGCTTTCTTACACACCAGCTGGCAATGGAGCCACCGGACGAGGCAGGATCGCTTGTGTAATCGTTCAAGGAGCCCAGACAAGTCTTGTACCCATCGATGTCGTACTCGTCCTTGACGGCGGTGGGTATGCCATCCATCAGTCCCCGTGGGCATCCCTGCTTATACCGTAAGGTTGACGCTTCAGCGGCAGCCAGAACCAGGTCAACCCGCGTCTCGAACCAGGCCGCAGAGTGTTCTCCCGGCGGCGTAGTATCTCGGCGTATAAGCGGCAAGATGGCCTTTGCTACCGCCGTCGGCGTCAATTCACCCGAGACGTACATGTCATGGTAGTCTTGCACCGTATAGTATCTGGCGCGCGGCGGCACGGCGGTAGACGCCAGCTGCGCTTCGGCGGTATAAACCTTGTGGCCATTCTCCCCTTCTGCTTCTTGGTTCTGCAGGGCGTCATCGTCTTCGAGGATCTCGGAAGTCGGTACGACGGTCGGGTCGACTCGCGGCTCATAGTCTTCGAGCTGTTTTCTGATCTTGCGCAGGCTGGCGAATCCGGCGTTCTTCCAGATGAGGTGTCGAATCATGCCCACGTACTCGAAGCTGCGACACGACACGACGTCCATCAGCGAGGATGACAACTGGCGATATCAAGGAGAGAGACTTACACGAAAGCCGCGAAGACCAGCACGAGGCCGCTCATGGTGGGATTCTGCTTCCGCTCATTGCGGTATGCGACGTCCGGCCTGTGTCGTCAGCGGTACTCATCAGTACAAGTTGCAGGTAAAGTGCAGGTAAAGCCATCGACTCACCCCTTTCGAGGCTCCGGGTAGGCCAGGAACTTCTTCATCTTGCCGTCCATGGCAGCTCTATCGCCGTCCATCGTCATCCGTCTGCCTCTGGCTTAGTTTCTACCATGAGGTCGAGCGTCGAACGTCGACGTGGAGGTTCCTGAGGCCGGTGGAGCTGTCTTTTGATCCCCGGGGAACTAACTAACCAACACCAACACCAACCAGCCGAGGTCCAGCCAGCCAGCCAGCCAGCCGCAAGTCACTCAGTCATTCACTTCCGATCACCGCCGCTCATCACCCAAAACTAATTACGAAACGGCGAACTCTGCTCTGAGGTGGTCCGTAAGGCTGGCACAGCTGATCGATCGAGGCACGCTCGGCCTTTTTCCAGCAAAACGGCTGAGATCGCCGGACAGCCGGACCTAGCGACGAAGGGCGTGGGCCGGGCCGGAGGAAGCCAGATAAGGCCAGGTAAGGGGTTCGTTCGTTCGCAAAGGCCGAACCAGACAGGCGAAAATTTACTGACTAATTGCCGTGAATAGGCTCGTATGCAGTGAGATGCCAATGCAGAAAGAAAAATAGAAACGATTCCCGCAGCAATACCAGCCCATGACCTGGGCCTTGCTTGACGTTGGACAGACAGGCCGCGCGCCCTTTGACTTAGCTGGCTATATATAAGGGCTGAAGAAAACGGCTGTTGTAGTCCCAAGTCGACCGAGATACCCCAGAAGACAACGAAAGTGAAGGGAGAGGCAAGATGCTGTTCCTTCGCGGGATGATGCCACGGCTGAACCTGCCGGTTCCCGTGGCCATTGCGCTGCTATACATACTCTTTGTCTTCCCCGTGATGGGGATGGCATACTACGAGCTGAAGAGCCGACGAGCCCGAGCCCGCACGCCCAAGGGATGCCGCAAACTCGGCCTTCACGACGGGCACTCGAACCTGCACGACGAGCATGAATACAGCACCGACGGACTCAAACCAGGCCAGAAGAACAACAATGAGAAGCCAACACCACGCATCAAGGCGCTGATAGCCTACCCTATCAAATCCTGTCGAGGCATCGAGTTCAACTTCACGCATTTCAAAGACAGCGGACTCGCCTGGGACCGCCGCTTCTGTTTCGCAGAGTACACCACTGATAACGACGACAACGACGACGGTTCGAGCGGCCACTGGGACGCCAAAACCCTACGAAACGGCACATACTCTCGTCTCGCCCTGATACGGCCCGAGATCTGGCTCCCCGACCCTTCCAGCCCAACCTACGACAAGCGCCTTCACAGCGTGAAATCAGACGGCGTGCTACTCATCTTCTACCCACGCGACACCTCCCGCCTACCGCCCTGGACCCGTCTGGGCATCCAGCTCGGCCTGCTGGAGAGCGAGGAGTGGTTTAGCATCCCGCTCAACCCGCCGGCGGACTCGAGCGAGTACCCCCTCGAAGAGCTGCGGTTGTTCAGCATCCCTACGCGCGCGACGAGGTACTCGACGCATGTCCCTGCTGCTCTGGCGGAGTTTCTAGGCAGCAAGAAGCCATTGGGTCTGTTTAGGGTGCACCCAGAGCATGTGCGGGTTGCGGTGGGCAATGCGCCGAGCGAGCGGGAGCTGGGGTATGTTCCTGACAAGGCGTTTAGTGACGAGTACCTGTTGCAGATGCAGAGTATGGGCAGTCTGCGGGAGATGCATGGGCGGACGAAGTATGCTATCCCGCAGCTGAGTGTGAGGCGGTTCCGGCCGAATGTGGTGCTGGAGGGAGTCGGGGCGTATGAGGAGGATGCGTGGAAGATGATTAGATTTGTATCAAGTGAGAAGGAAGATGGTGATGGTGATGGTGAAGGAGTGGATGTGCATGTGTGTTGTCGGACGGTGAGGTGCAAGCTGCCCAACGTCGACCCGGACACGGGAGAGCGACATGCGGTTGAGCCGGACAAGACGCTGCGGGGGACGCGGGTGATTGACGCGGGCGCAAAGGGCGGCTGTCTGGGCATGATGCTGGTGCCGAGCAGGCCAGGTAAGCCACTCCGATTCCACGATTCCACGATACTTGTCTTATCATTTTACTACGTGTTGATACTAACTAACCTCTGTAGACTTCAAGATAAGCGTGGGAGACGAGGTGAGGGTGGTGTCTACGGGCGAGCACTTCTACAAGAGAGTGTAGTAAAAAGTGTAATGTAAAAAAAAAAGGATAGTGAAGATTAATCATGTTCCATAAGCCTTTACTTACAGCAAGCCGCCCCATCTATGGTGATAGTAATAGTAATAGTAATAGTTAATAGTAATAATAGTAAGAAGCGGTAAGAAAATTAAAGGGAAAAAAAAAAAAGAAGCGGTGATGTCTATGCACTTTTCCAACCCCATCTAAACCCCGTACTTTTCAATACCCAAAAGAAAAGAAAAAAAGAAAGAAAGAAAAGAATAATAT